ATTGCAAACTAGCCTGGGATGTCAGTGGCTCAGAGAAATGTCCGATGTCTACCCCGAGGGTTACAGAGATGTCAGGAGGAGTAATTGCAGCTGAAAAGAAAGATTTAGGAGGATGAGCCCGGCCTGCGTGGCTTGGTGGTTGAGAGTCAACTTATGAACCAGGAGGTCATGGTTCAATTCCTGGTCAGGGCACATGCCCGGGTTGCAGACTCGATCCCCAGTGTGGGGCGTGCAGGAGGCAGCCAATCCATGATTCTCTCTCATCACTGATGTTTCTCTCTCTCTCCCTCTCCCTTTCTCTCTGAAATAAATAAAAATATATTTTAAAAAAAATTTAGGAGGATGAGTAATAAGGACTCCTGAGAGTGGTAATGAAATGATTGTAGAATATTTTCTTGAGCAGGGAGGACATGAACAGATGGCAGTACACTAGCTTCTAGATCAATGTAGGATCTTTATGAAGCCGCGAGCAATTCCAAATAATTCAACCCAAACGCAGTATTATTTATGGAGACCCATGCGAGAGGGAACATGGGGACACATGTGGGATCTTAGACGAAGCGTTTGCCATGGAGAAGGAATGCAGTAAGCCGAGACCGAAGACAGTTGTCATTTCCACAGGACGAGAGGGCATACTGTAATTTAAGACCCACTAGCGATAGACTCCAGCTAGTTCTGTGCATCATTCTCGTGTACCAATTCCTATGTGTCTTCATCAAAATCGACAAAATTAGACTGGAATAGTAAATACTTTAGATTATTTGGATCTTGGGCCTCTTTTTGGAAAAAGGACTCTAAACCTCTGCCATGTCTCTCTCTCATCTGCACTCCTGCCTGAGGGCTTAATAAAGTGAGTTATCTTGGGGGGTAGGAAGGGGGGAGACAGTTCTTTAAGGTAAAATCATGACATATAAATATAAAAAACAGACATGGATAATACATTTCCTCAGTTCAAAATTCCAGTGGGCCCAGCTGGTGTGGCTCAGTGGTTGAGTGTCAACCTATGACCCAGGAGGTCACGGTTTGGTTCCCAGTCAGGGCACATGCCTGGGTTGTGGGCTCAATCCCCAGTAGGAGGCGTGCAGGAGGCAGCCAATCCATGATTCTCTCTCATCATTGATGTTTCTCTCTCTCCCCCTTTCCCTTCCTCTCTGAAATAAATAAAAATCTATCTATCATCTATCTATCTATCTATCTATCTATCTATCTATCTATCTATCTATCTATGTATCTATCTATCTATCTATCTATCTATCTATCTAGTAGAGGCCCGATGCATGAAATTTGTGCAAGAGTAGTCCTTCCCCCAGCTGCCAGCACCGGCTTCCCTCTTGCACCCAGGACCTGGGCGTCCCTTGCAGCCCCAGCTTCGTCCGGAAGGTCGTCCGGAAAGACGTCCGGTCTAATTAGCATATCACCCTTTTATTATTATAGAATACACACACACACACACACACACACACACACACACACACATCCTCATTAGCCATTTCCTCTTTCCAAAACCCACAGCTTCAATCTGCTCCACCCCTTCTGGGAGTTAGGGATTAGATGCTACATATCCAGAGGCCATTCCTTAAACCAGAGTTAGACTGGGCTTCGTTTGGCTTTGTTAAAAACCCTAAGAAGCATTTTTTTTTTCCTTCTGTGAGGCAGCCTCAAAATTTTACTTTCCTTTACGTTTTCCAAACAGCTCGGGAACTAAACGGCCTTGGTCCATGAGCCCGGCGGTCGGAGCCTAACATTCCTGGCTTGGCATTTCTGAGTGAAAACAGGCCCGCGAGGGCCCAGCCTCCAGCTGTCGTTAACCTGCTCGCCTACAGTCTCATCCCCGAGCCCCAGCCTATTTTTAGATGCCCTCGGCCGCCGGGTTGCCTTTTCTTTTTCACAAGGTTGCGCTTTTTTTGGCAAGATAAGCGAGAGTCCTTTGGAACATTTAAGGATTCTGTAGTTAAGGTTGACATGGTAATTATACTTTTTAAAAGCCTGAAACTTGAGCAGATGCAGATTTTTAGCTCCTCCATCTTTTTTTTTTTTTTTTTTCAATTTGAAAAATCTGATGGGCCCGGCCAGTGTGGTTCAGTGGTTGAGCGTCGATCCAGGACCCAAGAGGTCACTGGTTTGATTCCCATTCAGGGCATATGACCGGGTTGTGGGCTTGATCCCAGAAGGGGGCATGCAGGAGGCAGCGGATTGATTATGTCTTTCTCTCTCATTGATGTTTCTATCCCTGTTTCCCTCTCCTTTCCTCTCTAAAAATCAACAAGAACATACTTAAAAAAAATAAATAAAAAATCTGATTGATGTTCTCTCTGATTTGTCCCAGAAAGTCTGACAAGTAAGATGCTATTAACACATACATACTGATGCCACTGGGTCCCGGGCACCTGCTGCTGGCGAAGTTTGTGTCCTTCATGCTCTTTAATTTGAGATTGTTGGGTATCCTGACACTGGTGGAAAGAGATCTGAAATCCCACGTGCAGGCAGAATTTGTTGGGGTGAACCGATGGGAAAGGCTGCCTTCTTTCTTACTTTGTCTTTGAGCGATAGCATTGGTGTTTATGCGTTTCTCTGGAACCCAGTGAAAAGCAGCAGTTTGGTCCTGTTGAGCCCTCTGTGAAGTTGTGATGCAAATTGTCACCATTTAGACTTGAAGTGTGTTAGAGTTGAATGGGCACCGATTCTGTATATGTGAATTAAGGTGCACCTGCTGGGTGCTGGGTTCTGCAGGTGGCACGAGGGGGAAGAAGGCAGAATTGAGCCCGGCTGGTGTGGCTCAGTGGTTGAGCATTGACCTAGGAACCAAGAGGTCATGGGTTGGATTCCTGGTCAGGCACATGCCTGGTTGCAGGCTCCATTCCCAGTAGGGGCGTGCAGG